GGAAACCATAGGAATTCCGATTCGATTTGTTTATTATTCATTGCTTTAGCTTCGGACCTAGTCATTTGAGGAAAAAAAAGGAAATATTTGAAATAATTAACTCAATTGATTGAAAATAATTTGCTTATATAATTCCGAATAAACAATGGATATTGTCACTACATCCGAACATGGTTCATCATGAGAATACTTTAAAATTGGAAACCCTGCACTGATAACTTGTTACGTTCCACTACTTTACTTTTGAATAAACATTACGAAATGAGAAGAAATACGAACGATTTTTCTCTCACCAATCCCATGGAACCTCCTGGGGACTACCAACGGCTCCTTCATGGCAGTACCGGTTCACAGAAACCCATCCATAGTGAGAAGACATAATTCTGGCAAAAAAAAACACAAAATTTATGATAAAGCCAAATGCCTTAGCTCTGCACTTTCAATCGTCCTTCAGAGAGAAGGCAATGTTCATAGTACCTGTCCATGATTTTTATACATCATCTATGAGAGCATTGGTGAAATGGCAAGCTTCTTGACAGCAGGTTCCACTTCTGCTTCGGGCTATGGATTGGGCACATGGTCGTGCAGCAGAAAGGTGTCGACAATGTTATTGGGTCCATCCTCAACCTGGATACTCTGGGCTCAGCCTCCATGCTCGGGTGTGTTAACTCCACAAGATGATGATAGACAACAAAGTGAAGGCTACCAAGTGTACCAGACATTCTTGAAGGCTTTGCAGCCGCGTCAGAGGCTATAAAAAAATTTCTAATGATCTATTGAACAAGAATGGAATGAAAAATTATCGGAAAATTATGAATAATTCTCCAATGAAGAGGAAAAATTAATAATTGAAAGGAAAGAGATTTTCTAATGAAGAATAATTTTTATCTGGAATCGTGAATATCAACATTATTGAATTGCAAATATTTGTGGTTCTATTTGAAGATTATGGACTTGAATTACGAAAAGAAGAATCCGCCTTCAAAGAACTCTGACGTACCTGAATAACGAATCATTCTCCGTCTTCTGGAACCGTTCAATAACAAAATATTTTTGGGAGATCCAGTACCCAACTCGCAGATGAAGAAGATTCTTAAAGGATTGTTTGATCCCCAGTAATTACCACAGCATACCCGTGGCTTTACATGGTTAGGACAATAACACAAATTCTAATTACTCAGCGATTGGAGTAAAATCAATCACTTCCTAGGAATTAAACCTTGGCGATCAGCGGGAAATGAAAAAAAAAAAACATACGTACATACCAATATTAATGATGATGATACATTTTATCCTGAATTAAATGAAATATATTCTCAACTGTGCAAGTAACACATAGTACACGCTGAACACTTACCACAAATCGGAGCAAATGCTATATAACCTTCACCACTGTACAAAATCACTAACTTCAGATATTCAAATTATAACATACATTCAAGTAACGAGCAACAATGCCCAAATTTGTGGTTTTGATTGTCCACTACAATTTATAATTAAATTATTAAATTTTGGAGCACGCTAATATCCACGTGGTAGCCATCTTATAAGAGTCTTCCCCCTCCAGAAAACAAACGAGCAAGCGTTCCGAATTTGATGAACTGAGACGTAAACAAAACATGCACACCACCTGGTGGGAGCAAAATAATAAGTTTTTATGTCGACATAAAACGCGCAAAATCTCTCCCCAGGGTTTTTGAACATCTTAGTTCATAGTTTCATAGCGGTGGTGCGCATGAACTAATCGAGAGGCCGGCTCTGTGGGTAAAGAAATTTTCATCTATTACCATGGAAACAGTCGATAATAGGGAAGCGTTCCCAATCTTAAATCCAACATGAAACCTCCTTTGCATTCACTCATCCGCTTGATTATCCCATTTTCGTTCATACAACTTCTTATTGTCTTAATTTGTAAATTAGTTGATCATAAAGGAGAGGGAGAGAAGGAATTATGAAGTCTTGAGCGAAAGAGGATCATTTATTTGAATTTCTATACAACTAGAT